GAAAATGGTGAAGTTAGTGGGAGTGCTAAAGAGACTGTGGAAATTAATGAAATAAGGGTTGATGTTCCATTACCCATTAATGTTCCAATATCCACAGTTGTACCAAATATTATTCCACAACCACAAAATAATGGTGGACAAAATTTGGATGAAGTAGCACCCCATGAAGAGACTAACTTGCCACCAACTAATATAAATGAACCACGTGGAATAGCATTAAGCAAACCTACAAGGGTGAGAAAACCTGCTATTTCGGATGACTATGTGGTTTATTTGCAAGAGTTGGATTATGATACTAGCATTGATGAAGATCCTGTTTCGTTTTCACAAGCCATTAACAGTGACGAGTCTCATAAATGGATTGATGCTATGAAAGAAGAGTGAAACTCTATGACTAAAAACAATGTTTGGGATCTAGTAGAGTTGCCAGAAAGTTCAAAACGAGTTGGGTGTAAGTGGGTCTTTAAGACCAAACGGGACTCGAGTGGCAATATCGAACGACATAAAACTAGACTTGTTGTCAAGGGTTATACTCAGAAAGATGGCATTGATTATAAGGAGACTTTTTCACCTGTTTCTAAGAAAGATTCTTTGAGGATCATTATGGCTTTAGTAGCTCAGTTGATTTAGAGTTACATCAAATGGATGTGAAAATGACCTTTCTTAATGGGGACTTAGATGAGGAAGTTTATATGGATCAACCCCAAGGTTTTCCATAGAAGGAAAGGGTCACATGGTGTGTAAACTTAAGAAGTCAATATATGGATTTAAACAAGCTTCCAGACAATGGTATCTTAAGTTGAACTATACCATTACGTCTTTTGGTTTTCAAGAAAACACTGTCGATCGGGTGTATTTACCAGAAGATCAGTGGGAGTAAGTTTACATTTTTGGTTCTATATATTAATGATATTCTTCAAGGGATGAAGGATCATATGCTCACGTTTAGGAAGTGTGATCGCCTTGAGGTGATTGAATATTCGGATTCCGATTTTGATGGGTGCATTGACAGTCGTAAGTCAGCGTTTGGTTATGTGTTTCTCTTTGCCGAAGGAAAAACTTAATGGAAAAGTGCCAAACAATCTGTCATAGATACATCTATTATGTAGGCGGAATTTGTAGCTTGTTATGAGGCTACAATTCACGCATTATGGCTGCGGAACTTTCTTTCGGGACTTAAGGTTGTCGACACCATTACCAAGCCGCTGAAAATGTATTGTGATAATTCCACAATAGTTTTCTTCTCCAAGAAAGACAAATATTCCAAAATGCATGGAAAGAAAGTATTTTGTCGTTACGGAGGAAGTTCAGAAACAAAGAGTGTGCATTAACATATTATAACGGACCTTATGTCTGTCAGTCCGTTAACTAAAGGTTTACAACCAAAGACATTAAAGAACATGTACATAGAATGGGTCTTGGTTGTATTGATGATTGATATGATGATGTTATGGCACACTCTTGAGCTCATTGATGTTATGTTTCTGACTAATTTTGAATTTCTTGTTCATTATGATTTTGTATACATTATGTTTAGAACAAGAAATGAATGTCTCCATGACAATTAAGTGGACATTATGATATTTATATATAATCATGAAACTTGATGTGTTGAACTACTAGTGTAGTAGTATATGGAAGGAAGTATGCGAATTGAGAGTGTACAACCGCCATAACTCTAACTATATGGTTTATCATGTCATAGTTTATTATGATGTATGACATAATGAGATTTGTTTATGCGCAACTAATGTTATACCATTATATTATGGACTTTCAGACCAAGTGGGAGAATGTAAGAATATGTGGCATGAAGGTGATGGGCTCACAATTAATTATCCTATTGGCCTAGCCTTTAATTAATGGTCAAACAAATCTAGGTCATTAATCTGGATACTTGATGGACGTACCAGATCTAAAGCCACCCCTATATAAATTAGTCCTTTCTCCTCCTATTAGGGTACACAGTTTTATCCCATCACTTTTCTGCTACGTTAAGGAACGGTCAGGAGGGAGAAACTAATTTAGATTTAACAATCGATCAAGCCTTGTGTGATCATCAAGATCAAGATCACTAATTATGTCGTCTTCCGCATAAAGTATTTCGTATACACCAAATTATTTATTCAAGATCCATGATGAGGTTTACATTTTACACCACAAATTCTTGAATCGCTCGACCGTTCCTCTCGAATTGGGTTGAATTTGTTACACCACAAATTCTTGAACCGCTCGACCGCTCCTCTCGAACCGGGTTGACCCTCTTGATCATTGGTAACTGCAAAACACGCCGGGGGTGGTCCCGGCGCGGACACTCCGATGCTCAAGTCAATGATATTCCAGAGAGAAAACAACAGAGTATCGAGATAATGCGTATATGTGTGTGTTGTGTAAAAGTAAAGAAATTGTCTCCTTTTATAGGTGAGAGGGGAAGGTCCTAAAGACTCCTATAACGACTAGAGCCCTTTTTCTGCCTGCCTCTTATCAACACTTATCTTATCCAACGACTCAGGAGTCCTGTTTGACCCCACTTCTCTATTCTTAGGATGATATCCGCGCCAGGTGCGGAAACACCTTTTTGTGGCATTATCCCTTCCATCCGTAAAGCTGAGCTCATCTTTCTATATTTTCATCTTGCTTGCCCGTGATCTGCCGAGCTGCGTTGAGCTCGGTCCCTCTCTGTGGCACGTTAGCTCGGCTAGAAGACGAGCTCCTTAACCTGGTTTTGCCTGTACATGGCTGGCCATACCTACCCGAGCCCAGCACTCTCATTGAACCGGTTAGATCGTCATACATGCCGAGATGTTCGAACGTACCCGCTGGGCTCCTCTCTTTGAGACCACGTCACGTGTCTGCCGAGCTGCTCCTTTTAATACTATGTTACATCATACTCTAAAGTAGAAATAAATTAAAATAAAAAACCCGTCTATAACATTTGCGTGTACAATTTAGGGGATGCTTGGATATAAAATTTTTTGGATTTGTTTGAATTTTTTGGTTTGGTTTGATTAATTTTGAAAAATGTGGTATGGTTAGTTGTTAGTGTGTATATGAAAATAATATTTAAAATAAAATAATTAAAGATGATTTGATGTAAAAGTATGAGAGAGATGATTTGAAGTGATGATTAGGCAAAATTATGTGAGTGGATGAATATTGAATGAGTGCTACTATTTACCACATAGTTTTTACTAAATACCACCCCCGAAAATGACGGTTTTACCCTTTTAATAAAAAAAAAAAGAAAAAAAAAAACTGAAAAACCGAAAATTTAAAAGTGGAAATGACACTTTTTACATATACATAACTTAGCAAAAAAATTCAAAAATCTATACATCACAGTGGGAAAAAAAAATTCAAAAAATCTGGAAAAAAATCAAAAATTACGAAAAAATTAAAATAAATCCGAAAAAATTGGGAAAAAACCGAAAAAATCAAGAAACAATGGTGGGACAATCTTCAAGCACCGGGAAAGGGATCTCCAATTCACAAGTAATTTTTTTTTTAACAATTTTAACGAATTAAAAAAAAA